AAAGTGTTTAAGATTTTTTAAAATTTATGGTTTGCCTATGTTTTTCTTTCACTTTCCAAAACGATTTCGCGATAAACATTCTTAAAAGCATCAAAGAGAAGTGACACCATCACGGCCAGCCGAATCAATGCAAACATTGCAGCTTCTCTTCTTGCGGCCACATTAGAATGTCTAAATTATCATATAACCTCTTTATTAAGTAAATTCTATAATTTTCTTTGTTTGTAGTTTTCACTCAGAGGTGAAATTTTCTTCTTTGAAGTAGACAATATTTTGTAATTGGTCACGTTTGTGTGAGCGCAATAGCACCTTCTCTTTATCGAGTCTAGTTTTAGTTTTTAATATCAGTAAAACCTTAAATTATTGGAGCTTATTAAGCTTCACTTTTAATTCGTTTTTAAACATTCAATTAGTTAAAATAAAATCTGTCAACTAACATTATTTTGTATTCAAAAAATATTGGTCTCTCCCGTGCGAATCGTGGAGTAACATTATCATGACTTTCTCAGTATTACTTATTACGTTCCTAGATCAGGTTTTAAACATAAGAAAGAATATATAAATCATGCAACAAATAATGCCTCTACCAAACAGAATAGTAATGAAATTTAACAATTAACAACTAAAAATATATAAATTATTAATTCAATTATTCTATAGCTGGTTTATGATTTCGTTCTAATATAAATACAGCAAGTGAATTTGTTGATAAAACTTACACAGCAAATTAATGAAACTGCAGAAAATGTGCGAACATAAAAGTCAAGTACGGCTAAGGGTCAGTCGGTTAAGTAGCGCTGACTCTGAACTTCAAATTTGGTGGGGCACAAGTTCGATTCCTGGTACTTGCAGTCTTAGTTATTTATGGATAATTAAATACAAGAATTATTTCCAAGACGACTACTGATGATGGGTATTTGGCAATACTTGAAACAGCTGTATGGTCAGCCAAAAATTTAATTAATTAAAATAATATAAAAATGAACTACTTTTCTACTTTTCGAAAAAAACCTTTTTTCACCTTTTTTTTTTAAATAATATTTAATAAATCATCGTATAACTACTTAAGTCCGAGCAGTGTTTATAAGTTATATATATATCCAAAATTAATTTCAGCAAAAAATGTTTACGGAGTCTTTAAATATGAAGCTTTGTAGATGGCTTTTGTCTCAGTAACTTTATTAATAAACATAATTGTTATATATAGAGTAAAAAAGGTCATTCAACAATAACCGATATATCCTGAAATGTGCACTGTTTGGTGCTGTTCCACTAGTGGTAAAATTGGACCTTTTAAAAACTATAGAAAATCGTATTTTCATAATAAATGGTGCTTGGATTAAAGCTTTACACAACGATTAAATATGTTTTGAACTACTTTTGGTCTCAATGACACTGAAGTAATTGTGCGTCTTCAGAAATAAAGCGGTTGTGTGGCCTTATACACTGAGTTATTTAATATTGGTGGAGCAATTTTTATGGAAGTATTCAAAATAAATGGTATATGCAATTAAATAATATAATATATAATATATATTGTTAATAATTAACAAATATTCCAAACTTGAAAGTAACTATCAAGTGTACCGATTCCAATATACATCATATATATATATTATATATATATATATATATATATATATATATATATATATATATATATATATATGTTTGTATTATATATATATATGTGTTTACATTATCATTTTTCGTTTCCTCGATATACTAAACTTCTAAACACGCAGGGGTGTAAAATAGATAAAGCTGGACGCAGTGCATAAAGGCCCTAGCCTAACCCATGAACTAATACCTTTATCATATTATAAAATAAAATTCATTACTTAAGTTTTGAATAATCAAACTCGAAAAAGAGTAACTAAATCGTTTATAACAATTTTCAGGTTAAATCAAAATTAAAAAAAGAAAAAAAAATCCGCTTTTTCTAAAATTTCTATAAACAATAAACAAAATCTCTCACAAAATCATCTAAATGTCAACATTGCGTTATATACTCGTTCTTATTTTAGGTGTATGAACTCAAGGCAGAAGTTTCATAAATTTTAGATTCTAACAGTTGTGTAAATAAAATCCACACACCATATAGTAGACACTCCGAACCTGGAGCACACACTCTTCACAAACCATTCAATTTTCAATTTTGATTACCTTGACCGAAATTATTAAGACTTGCTGGCGTGTTCGTGTTCTTTCTAAATTTTCGCTTAGTCTATATCTGCCTATCTAGAACATTTTGTGCGTGTGCTCTTCCAAATATAAACAGAAAATATCCAAAATTATTACACAAACATCCACAAATGATATGATGCCATATAAATTGATTAATACTATTATTTAGCATATCAAATAGGCTAGCTTTCGTGTTTCGTGTTTCGATTTCATTAAATTTGTTTGGAAAGCCAATATAAAAAAGAGAAGTAAACAAAATTCAAGTGAAAATGTAAACAAATTAAAAATATTGATAACAACTTAATTATGCAAATTTATGTTAAATTCAATTTTGTTGGAAACGAACTATCACAAAACGAAAATAAATTTGATTCCATGGTTTTTTGTCAAATGACGAATTTTTCCTTGGCATAAGAAATTGCGCAAAACACACCCTTTCTCTACCGAATGAGTGTTGTGCATCCAAAGAAGGAAATTAATTAATTAAGCCATAAAGATTTTTTAATGTACCAAACCCTTTTCTTATTTGTTCGATTCAAAGGTCAAATTATTTTGTTAAATTCTTTAGCAATAATCCTCGAAGTATGTATAAAGGTATAACAAGTTCATGATCTTAAAGGGTTTAATATTTTTTCTTTTTAACATAGGAAGTATCTTTTTTCTTGTTAAATTCTTAAAGTTTATTCAATACTGAATATGTTGGCAGAAAATGATTAAGGATGAGACATATATTAGAATGGAAATGGAATAATGGATTAAAAATTATACAATTTTGAATACAATATACATAGTATGAAACACAATATCATTGAACTATTCGCCACTAAACATCTATACTCACTCCTTTTGATGCGATTTGCAATAACTGGTTAGTATATAGTTGGCAAGAAATCGTGACAGTTGGAAAAAGTTCGTTATGGCCCAATGTTCTGGGAACGTAATGAAATGAATAAAAAGAATATAGTTGGTAATAGCACGATCATGACTTAAAATGCGTTTAAAGATGTCTTTCCAAACCGTTTAGGGTTTAAAGATTGTCCACATAAATATGATCGCTTGCTTATCTTTGTGCTTAATTTTGTGCTCTAAAATATTAGTAGTCATGTAGTTATAGAATTAATGGTTTGAACTACATCTTTGTTATTTGAAAAAATTTCAATGACGAAGAAATGGGCCTATCACACCTTTAAACCAAATGCCATACTGTAGTATCGAATGTTAATCGAATAGTTTCTCGTCAGTTTCTTGTGGATTTTAACTGCCCCAGATGCGACAATGTTAGTTAATATATCCACAAATCTAAAAATGAATCTCATCATTAAAGAAAATACGATGTAGTATAGTTAGTTTTAATAATTTTAACATATCCACACATATATATGTAATATATTTTAGTGATATATGATGTTTAACAAAATGTAATGTTTAATAATATGTAACGCACCCGCGACGATGAGCAGCCCGACTTCAGTATACCACTATCTTCACAGAACAACTGCAAATTTACAGGTTAACTCCTTTTACAACTGCACTGCATTAGGTTGCCGCCCCAATACTACACATTTTACATATATATATATATCTATATATATATGATCTATATATATAATATCTATATAAAGAATGTCTATATATATAATGTCTACATCAGCAACAGCTGTTTTTTTTATTTCTTATTTTATAAAATTATAATCAAATAGTTTCAGTTAGTAAATCGTAAGTCAATCACATCTCTTACATATTATACAACTGATGTGAACCATGTACTATCTTGGAACAGACAGTAGTAGTTCATAATGAATGATACCTCTACAATTTAATTAAACAAATAGTATCAGTTTCTTTGGCGCCAATATCGAGTTGGCCCTAGTTTTTGAATATTCGATTCACAAAAAGTTATTTCCAGTGATTTTAGTGAATTCCAGTTCGTTATAATCTCAAAACCCGACTTGTATATATTGGTTCACGATTAGTGTTACTTCTAGCTATCCAAAAGATACCACGAGGACATTGTTGGTATTTTAACAAACTTGATTTAACTTAAGACAAGGATCTCAGGTTGCCAATTGCAATATTGAATGCAAACAGACATGACCAAGATTATGTTTAATTAAAAAAGTAAATTATTCTTAACATTATGCGATTTAGTTTTTATTATTTCTTACCATAGTCCTTAAAAATTTCATTCCACTTTAACAGCCACTCACAGATAAAAAATCGGTCCGCTTAAGTTTTTTCGTATATTTAAATACCAGCTTTTCGTATACCTAAATACAGAATTTATTATTAAAACCAGTCTTATGTGATGGGTTTAAAACATTAATGAGGTTGGCTTTTAATTCTTGGGCGGTATCGTAACTATATGATATCGCTTTTTAATGGCTTTCTACTTCTTGATCTATATTTTTTTTCACTTTTCGTAGATGATCTTACTTACTTGCTTACTGTTGTTCTCTTATCCTTGTGGAGCATAGGGCCTCAATGGACTGGCCAAAACGATATATTTGTGCTATATTGTTAGTGTAATTAAATTGTGAAATTTTATTTCTAAAATTTCAAATATGTTTGTTTAAATATAACTTTTTAAATGTAGTTCTGATCCCAATAAAATATTAACAAATATTTATCTAGTCTATTCTCTGTTAAAAAACAATTTTTTTATGTAAATAATTATTTAATAAGTAAATGGATTATCTAATCAATCGAACAAAAAAACACTGAATAGTTTTTTCCTATAACAAATTCTAATTTTATTGATAAAATGTTTTATTAAAAAAGTATATATAATTATGTGATTATAAATTATTTTTCAGAATAAGCCACTTGTTGTTGAACCCATCGATTTTGAAAGTTTTGTTGCAAAGAATAAAACACTTATTCAAAATGATCCACAAAGGGAGTTGCTTATATATCCAAATGATGATGTTTCAGTAAGTAAAAGATTTCATTTATCATAAAACATATAATCATATAATTAATAATTTTAGGAAATTATTATGCCTCGAAAGTTACGCACAAATTCAAAATCGATCACAGATCGTTTTGAACCGCCAAATAAATCAATTGTCTGTCCCTTACATGGTACCAATACTACCAGGCAGAATAATGTCACAAATAGTCCCAAAACAACACAACGCCAACAAAGCAATCACTCAACTAATAGTCTTCAAAATGGGAACATAACCCGTAGAAGCTCACAAACTTCTACAAAACTTGCGAATACTAAGTCACCAACATCGTCGTTTGAATCATATGAATCAGCACATGCTGCACCTGGTCCAGTATCATCATCTTCCTCATCAACATCTACTCTTAAATCATTTATTGCAGAACCTGAAGAAGATTCAGAAGAAGACAATGAATGTGTTAATGGCGGTAGTAATGGCGATAATATTGTTAAAGTTACTGCTACAACGCGTGCTGAATGTACACGTTTCACGCGCCAAGCGCTTTATACGTATCGTGCTAAAAATCATTTGATTCACTATAAATATAGTGCATATGGTGGTACTTGTCACGATTTGCCAAAGTAATTATTCCACATAACTTATAAGAATCTAAAATATGTATATATTATACTTCTTAAATTGTTTTTAATATTAGAATTAATCCGCCGGAATCACTTATAGAAGAAGTTTATGAAATTGACGCTGATCAAGATCGTATTGATGAACAAATGACAAGATCTCAGGCGGATTCTATTACAAAGCAAGGATTTTTATTGAAGGGTCCTGATTCTGGATCGGATCGAATGTTTGCTAATATTGGCAATAAGTCATTTAAGAGAAGGTTAGTTCTGAATAAAACAAATACAAATATTTTTTTATACACATAAACATACATATATATATTTAATATATTAAATGTAATACATATACACATAAATAAATTAAATAAATATAATAAATTCATATTTTAATATATATAATATATATAATATATTCATAATATATTCATTATATTTCTAAAATCGAGTTAACAATCCAAAACGTTAAACATCATCACTTTTTATAGCTATACATATATGAGTCTGTCTGGAATATATATTTTATTAAGTTTAATTAAATATTTAATATTGGCTTCTTCGAGCCCTCCGAATGATTTTGGATATTCTCTAGATGCGAAAGATTTTTTATAGACATTTATATTAAAAGTCTAAATTTTTGATCGGATTTAAGTGTTTTTTTCCATATTTTAGTGTTATTCTATTTAATAAAATTATCCTTCTGTCGATATGGAATGTGTAAAATTTTCTAGAGGTGGTTATATAGCCGCAGTTTTAAATCTTTTGAATTTAAATAAAAACTCCTTCAGACTTATTAATTCTGGCAGTAATATCTTTATCTACTTAGATTTAATTTTTTGTGATGCTTCTGACGTATATAATTGATTACACACATTCTGATTTCTTGATTTCTAAATGAATGGAAAAAGAAGCTGCAACTCTATTTCTGTTCGTCGTGATTCTACTTTTTCCGATACTTATTTCTAAATCAGCATATTAAGAATAGAAGTATAGTTAATTTATGCTACTCCAGAAACTAGTGCAACATTTTCACAGTAGACCCAAATCATCAGCATATTTTAAGTCTCAAACTCAACTGATGTCCGATGGATACCCAATGGTTCGTTTGATGATGTTCCATTATTTCATCTAGTACAAGGATAAATAATAAAGGCGATAAAATCGAACTTTGCCGTTCACCCGTCTTGACAACGAATAACACAGAGAGTTGTTTAGAGTAGGAGAGTGAATCCTTTAATCAAATGTGACACCTTAACAGGCATGCTTTTTTTATGATGTATCATAGAAACGTAAGATTTTAGCTGTCGAATGTTTTTTTTTTAGTAAATAAAATCCGATTACATTGACTATCAAATATCATTACATTCTTAAATACGTATCGTATTAATAGTACCAGTATCAGAGCGATTTATTCTGAACCCGAAATGGTTTTCTCGTAGTGAGTTTTCTGCGACATTAGAAATCGTGGCCAGGAGAATTAATGTAAATATTTTACTTAAAATGGGAAATAATGTTATGGGCTCGTGTTGTTGTTGCTAAAGAAAGCATCATTCATGATAATTCTTTTATTTCCCACATATGCTGTATAATATGTAACCTTATAGTTGATGGTAAGTCTGGGTCACATTACAGAAATTCCGTGTGAATGTTGTCGTTGCCTGGAGACCTCATGTTTTAATAGTGAATCAATGACATTCAATACTTTAGCTTTGATTTTTGCTATAAGTGTATCGATGGAGTCATCTTGGAGTGAATCATCTATTGAGTTCTTTTCAAATATATATTTAATAAATATATAGTATAACATATTAAATATTGAATAAATAATATAATTCTTAATTTTTTCAGATATTGTTATTTACGTCAAGAAGTAGATGGAACGTATATTCTAGAATTACATAAGGATGAAAAACAGGGAGAAGCTAAAGCTACTATTGTAATGGATTTTTGTACTGAAGTTGTGCAGGTAAAACTCTTCGAAATTATAATAGTTTATTTCTTAAATTTTAAAAAAAAAATTTTTTCTTCACAATAGAATCCTAAAAAAGGTCGCTATTGTTTCGAATTACGCATGACTGCTGGCCATAAATCGTTTACATTAGCCGCAGAAAACGAAGATGAATTTAAAGATTGGTTAATAAAACTGTCATCGGTGCTGCAACAGAATAAAATACAAGAAGATAAACGTGTTGCTTCCTTAGAACGTACATTACCACCTAGTCCTTGCAATATTATGTTTGGTACACTTAAAGGCTTAGATCAGTCGATGAATCCACAATTAATGAAATATGGACGAGAAACCGATATATCAATTGCACAATCACGTCGTGAAAATCGTCGTAGACTTTTTGCTTGCTATCAATCGCCGACCAAAGTAACAAATGCTGACAACGTTGATCAATATCGGGAACAGTTTGGTAAAAGAATTTTCATTTCTTGTAAAAGCCTTAAATTTAGGTTACAATGTTGTAATGAAAATGGAGAAGGTGATAACTTGTGCCAAGTGGAACCATATATAACAAGTTTGGCGTTATATGATGTGAAATCTGGACGCAAATTGACAGAATCATTTTATTTCAATATTAATGATGACAACGTCCGTGATATGTTGCCCAATACACCAGTGCCATCTTCTGTGACTGCTTGTTGTGTGCCCAAGCGTGAAGATCGTGAAGAAAAGGCACGTCAAGGTTCCCAAGCACAAAACTCGGTACTTGATAATTTGTCACCAGAACTAATGCGTTGTCCTAAAGTAATTTTTAGTGGTTTAAAACAAGGTGTATTCTGTGTGACAGCACCGCATCCTGATATATTTTTGGTGCTAAAAATTGAAAAAATCCTTCAAGGTAATATAGTACAGGCTGCGGAGCCATATCTTAAGACTGGACGCGATCCAAAGATCGCTTTAAAATTGCACAAATCAGCACGTAATTACGCACAGAATATTGGTCATTATCGACAACCTTTCGCTTGGGCTGCAAAACCTTTGTTCAAACTTTACAGCAATGAACTGGACACTGAAAATAATCAGTTCGACTTTACAACTTTATATCGACAGGAACCAAATAAACTAAAAGATGATGAATTGCTTAAGCTACTGGCAGAATATCGAAAACCAGATAAATTGAGTAAACTAACAATAATACCGGGATGTATGAAACTAATTATAGAAGAGATCGATAGAGTTCAATGTGGGTGCCATAATTTATGCATTTTGTTATGTTGTATATGTAGTTTACCGATAGGATAACAATGTAAATGGATATTAAGAACTAAAATAATAACTAATCTAAAATTAGTTAGAGATCAGTTTAACAGAAAAGTTGTTAAATTAAATTTTGATACTAAATTAACTATATAATAATTTTGAAATGATCGGTAACTGCATGGAAAATATAACAAAGTGGCAATTGCGATTTTTGATAACTTTTATAATTAATTTTAATGATGTTTTTCTTAATTACTTAATTAGGTTCCTTTAATAAATCGCTTGTACCATTAGCTAACTTCAGTTTTCCGCCCAAAACGCCTACGCTTGAATTAACTGAATTCCAAAGTAATAGTGAACGTGATACACATCCCTACACCTTATTCTGTAATCACCTATTTATATATCCGTTGAGTCTACAATTTGATAGCCAAAAATTATTTTCACGTGCACGCAACATTACTGTTGTTGTAGAGCTACGTGATTCAGATACTGAATACAGTAAACCACTTAAGGTTGGAATCTTGAATTTAAAATTTTAATCAAATTGACTTTATTTACATAATTTTTTTATTAATTCGTACTGTTCTTTATTGCAGTGCATTTATGGACGTCCTGGTCATGATTATCTTGTCTCTCAAATTTCCTGTCCTATTTTACATCATAACACAACTCCGTCTTGGTATGAGGAAATTAAAATACGTTTGCCTTTAGGCATATTTCCGGAGCATCATTTATTATTTTCATTCTATCATGTTTCATGCAATTTGGGTAAGAAACGTGATGCTCATGCTGCATTTGAAACACCCATTGGCTATGCCTGGTTGCCATTATTGCAAAAAGGAAAAATTAATTTAGAAGAGCAGATATTACCAGTAGCAGCTTCGCTGCCTGTTGGGTATTTATCCATACAACCACTTGGCTTGGGCAAAGGCGTAAGTTGAAAGAATATTTATCTGTTTTTGTATATACGTATAGGCATATGTGAAAATTTATTTAAAAATACATATATTATATATTTTATAAGCCTATTAATAGTATATTAACTTGCAATTTTAAGCAAAAAATCTGTTCAGTTGTAAGTTTAATATTTATTAAATATAATTTCTGATATTAACACTAATGTATGTGTTTTTAAAGTAGGAATATAAGATCTGTGAATTCATAGTTCAAAATCTCAACGAGTTTGTAATATTTTGTTGGCAACTGGCACATTCATAAATTACTTAAGGTATCCAGCATATACCTGAAAGATATAGATGAATTCACTCAAACAATTAAACCACTTCTTGTTTGCATGAAACCAAAGTCTACCATATATTACCTCCTTGTCAATCATGTTTTTAGAGTTATACTAATATTAAAATTTTAAAATTTTCTAAGCTATTGAGAAGGTCTAATATCATACGACCAAACACGGCACCACTGTCATCGCTTAGGCCCATATTCGCCAGATCTGGATCCGTGCGACTTTTTCCTGTTCCCGAAACTTAAATTGCCCCTTTGTGGTGAGCGTTTTGAGTCGATTGAATCGGTAAAAGAGAATTCGCCGAAGGAACTAAAAGCCATACTTGCACGGGCCTACGAAAAGTGTGTGGAAGATTGGGTTAAGCGTTGGGATATGTGTATCGCTTCAGAAGGAGCATATTTTGAAGAAGATAAAATAAATTGGGAATAAAATTTAAATTTGTGTGTTTTATTTACAAAATCCGAGTACTTTTTGAGCAGAAGGTAAATTATATTGTATATGTTATCTTAACTCAGAGTTCGGTATGAAGTAGCTTCGGTTGCTTCGTATGAGTTACTTTATTTAAGCGCAATTAAACTTGGCTAAAAAGGGTATTTCAAGTAGATCAATAGGAGCTAATTTTTATTTTACTTTAGACAATTACCATATTACGCTCTTGTGTAACTCTCTACTGATCAAATTATCAATATAAATAAGCCTTCCCGCTAACACAAGTTTATTTTTTGTCTCAAACCAAATATTAATTTGAATAATTGAAGTTTTGAAATAAAGCACATTGTCTTTATTACTTGTATTCATTATAGTTAGATAATAAACCCTTTGTTTTCTACATACTGAACAGATTTGATATATTTTTTTTAAATTTTATTTTATGTTAAAATATTTAATATAATAATATTATCAAAAACAATTAACTAACCTGTGTTTTTTTTAATACTACACACTACACTTACACACATTTTAAAATTTATACAAAAATCACAACTCATACACTTCTAATCAAAATCGAACTTATCAAAATTGTTTCTAACTTTGTCTAATTCTTTGTCATTTCATTGTTTCTTTGCGTTAATGTGTGCTGAAATGTAAATGTGAATGGTACCATAAAAAAACTACCTACATAAACAACAACGCCTAAACAACATCAACGAAATCAATTCACTACACATCCAAAACGCCCTACACTATTCCATACTTCAACCTATGACTGTTAACTTATTTTCATCACCAACTCATAATACTCGTACTATAAACTTTACTATTGCTATCGTTCATTTGCTTATAAAATTTCGACCTATCTATCCTCTTTGGCTACAAAACATTACCATATTTTTAGCAGAACTGCGGTCCCGATATACAATGGATCGATAACCAACGTCCATTATTTGCGTTGAGTTTACGCATGGATTCCACAGTATTAACCGCTGATCAACATATGCACAATCTGTTTGCACATTGTGAACGTTTACTAGAGGGCGGTAAGACTACTGCTCTACCCGCAGAAACGGAGACCTGCAAAATACTAAAAGCTGCGCATGCCATCGATATATGCTCTCTGATTAATTACCTACCGACAGTATTAAATGAACTCTTCACTCTGCTAGTACATATTAAAAGCGATGAGGTTGGCTTAAATATCATACGTCTGTTAATTAATATCATACATATGATCATTGAAGAAGCCGGACGTAAAGAGTTGTTGACGGCATATGTTAAATATGTATTCCATGCTCCATACTATAACTTTAAATCAACACGTACTGTTCATGATGAGCTGTGCAAGCATTTGCCTTTAATATTACATCCTAACAACACCGATTTCCTAATAGTTAATAAATTTATGCGCTATTCCAGTATTTTCTTTGATATAGTCGTTAAAAGTATGGCACAGCATTTGCTCGACACAGGACGTATACGTATGTTGCGCAATGAGCGTTTTCCGAAAGAATACCAAAATAAATTGGATAGCTTGATAAAAGTACTCATTCCATATTTGATATCACGTTACAAGGATTTGCCTGTTGAAACGCAGCACTTAAACAAGTCGCTCTCACAGTTCATTAGACGCTGTTTGACTTATATGGATCGTGGTTTCGTTTTTAAACTTATTCGTTATTATATGGAACAATTTGCACCTGGCGATCCACGCACATTGCAGGAGTTCAAATTGAATTTCTTGCAAGAAATATGTCAACATGAACATTATGTGCCTATGAATTTACCGTTTGTCCTAAATCCTAAAAACCGTCCACCCGAAATGATGCAACACTTCACACTTTCCGAAGAATTTTGTCGGCAACATTTTCTTTCCGGCCTATTTCTACAAGAGTTAAAGAGCAGTTTAAACGAAGTCAACAATGTACGCCGGCACGCATTGTTCATATTTAAAAATTTGTTAGCAAAGCATGAACTGGACGATCGTTACCAAAATCGTGGTCAATTGTCACGTATTGCTTTGCTCTACGTGCCCTGGTTGGGCATTGTTATGGAAAACTTACAGCGCATTGATGACTTGTCTGAGACTGCATTGACCCCAAATGGGCATGTTTACGCTGATTCTGCATCTTATACGCAACGTTTATCTTGTTCGAGTAGTTATGTGTTTGCCAAAGACTCAGCATTGACATCTACAACATCAACTCCTCGTTCCAAAAATCGTATGACTCTTCATATAGACCATCCTAGTCCACTACGTGCTTCGATACATATTAAGGAAAATAACTATCTGGCAGCCATTGCCGGCCAAGCAGTGACAAATGGCGCATCAACCACATCCTTGAATTCCTTAACTTCTGATTCTCAGGTAAGTCATACACAATTCATATTATATAGTATACTATGTAACAATGTATATAAAAATTCATTTTAGGGTTCCAATGATACTACAACAATTGGTAACATTACTAATGGAAATCATGATTCCGATGTTGCATTGAGAAATGGCCATAATCGTTCCGTAAGCGTGACACAAGCTCTGCAATTGCCGCGTTGCGATAAATTTTCTACAACTGAAAGTAAGGATTTATTAATCGGTTTCCTCTTTGTTATTAAACATCTGTCACAAGATCAGCTGATTGGCTGGTGGCAAAATTGTAATGAAAGCGATCAGATTTCATTTCTAACCATACTGGAATTGTGTTTGGTGCATTTTCGTTATGTTGGTAAGAAGAATTTGAATCTTGCCGAAGAAAGTAAAGATGCTCGCGCTGCGCGAGCTGCTAAAGCTAGTACCCTGCCTGCACGTATGGCACCACCAAACCTTGAAAATGGAAATGCTCACGAAACGGGTACCCTAAACCTAACACAAAATCGTGATAATTTTCTCAATGAAACTGCTAGAAATCAGTTGGCGTTATATGAATCTAATTTAGCTACAGAAGTTGGCATGATAATATTGGATTGTCTGGGCCTCTATGCGGTACATTTTCGTGAAAAACTTATTGACTCCATTGTTTTGCCAAAACTTGCTCGAGTTTATTTACGTTTTCTACAAATTGGGCAATCGGAAAATCTATCAAAACATATTTTTGCCGCTTTACGGGCATTTATAAATAATTTTTCACCAGCATTATTTAAAGGAAATGCTATACTGTGCGGTCAAATGGTGTATGAGTTACTAAAAGCTTGTGACAGCCGCTTAGTGGTCATACGACATGAATCTTGCGCTGTTCTTTATTTGTTGATGCGTAGCAACTTTGAATTTAGCGGACGTAAAGGTCTAACACGTGTACATCTGCAAGTTATAATATCCGTTTCACAAATGATTGGCAATGTGATTGGACTTAATAATGCACGTTTCCAAGAAAGTCTTTCTTTAATAAATAGTTATGCTAACAGTGATAAGGCAATGAAAGGCACAGGTTTTCCAATGGAAGTAAAAGACTTAACACGTCGTGTACGTACTGTACTAATGGCAACTGCACAAATGCAAGCACATCATATGGATCCAGAACGTCTACTGGAATTACAGTATTCATTAGCGAATTCTTATGCTTCCACTCCCGAATTACGACATACGTGGTTAGTAACAATGGCACGAAATCATGAGCAAAACGGTAATATATCGGAGGCAGCTTGTTGTCATTTACATATTGCCGCTTTAATGGCCGAATATTTACGTTTACGTGGTGGCTGTAGCGTACTGTGGGGAGCGTCTGCATTAATGAAAATTTCGAGTAATATACCACGTGATGAGCAGGGTTTGAAACTGGATGCTGGCGCACAAGATTCACAGTATACGGAGCATATGTTATTGGAACAGTTAAAACAGTGTGCTGATTTTCTGGATAGAGCTGAACGTTTCGAGTGTTTGGGTGAACTTTATAAACTTATACTTCCTATTTACGAACGTGGACGAAATTTTATAGAATTAGCACAATCATATGAACACTTGACGCAAGCTTATAATAAAATTGTAGAAGTTAATCGTTCTGGAAAACGGATGCTCGGACGATTCTACCGGGTAGTGTTCTATGGAGCGGTAAGTTAAAAAATTATTGTTAGCAATATGATTTTTTTTTTAATATTTTTTATATTATTCTATTTTAACATTATTTTTTATTACAAAACATGTGTACGGAGTTATCCATTTTCGGATCACTTTGTATAAGTTACAAAGTTAAACCTAAATGAAGCATTCTTGTAATTGAGATTTGGATAATACATTGACTGTATTAAGTAAATTTTTTCATTCTTAGCATTTTATTCTTAAATTATGTGAATATATGCATTATATTATTACTTCACACGAAATACAACTTAAGAAACCTTAGCGTAAAAAATTTTAAGTTGACTTTTCCTTTGCTTTTTGCTGGGAATTTTGGAACTTTCAAAATATTCTAATAAGATCCAATAATATTTTATGTAAAAATGTAGTATTCAAGAATACATTTTTTAAGTACTGCGGAAATGGCGAGCGACCTTTTGAAGTATCATTTCACTTAAGCCAACGAAAACATCTACAATAGCAGCAACATAAGCCAGTAGCTCTTTAACATAATCTCATATTATATGAAAAGTATATTAATTCATATTATGTACATTCACCTAAATAAGTAAAAATCGAAATGCCAGCTAATAGCATCAAAAAAAAAAACAGATACGCGAAACATAAAGCAAAGAATATAAGAATAATTTTATACAAACAGTACCAAAAACGGGTAAAGCAGTATCAAACACGTGCGAAAGTGCTAGTTAACAGTAACAAAAACGAAAAATATAAGACAAACAAATGTCACGTTATATAAATTTCTCAAGAAAACCTCTATAATAAAATTTTCAATATACATAAATTTAGAAAAAACTTAATAAGAAAATTAAATGCATTAATAATTAGTATTAATTACATTTTACTTTATTTCCCAACTTTTATTAATAAATAAATATTTTAACTTTCTACTTTTCAGATGTACTTTGAAGAGGATCACGCCATCGAATACGTATATAAAGAACCAAAATTAACTTCTTTGAGTGAAATTTCTGAACGTTTGGCAAAGCAGTATAAAGAGAAATTTGGTGCTGATGTGGTTAAACTGATTATGGATTCATCACCAGTAATTATTTATATCATTATTATTTTTTTTTTTGATTCATTTAAATGGCATTTTTTTCCCTCAGGTTAATGTCAAAGAACTTGACACCAAATTGGCTTACATACAAGTAACACATGTAATACCATTTTTCACTAAAGATGAACTCGATCAACGTTTGAATGAATTTGAACAGAATCACGATGTCGATACGTTTATGTATGAAACACCATTTACAAAATCCGGTGCTGCTAGAGGAAGCGTCGAAGAACAGTGGAAGCGTAAAACTGTTATAAAAAGTAAAGTTTGTTTATTAATCATAATTAGACACTAACAGAAAATTGTGTTTTATTCCAGCTACTTATTCATTTCCTTATGTGCTAAAACGAATATCCGTTAAATCGAGAGAAATTATAGAACTGAGTCCAATTGAAGTAGCTATTGATGAAATGCAGACTAAAGTTTCAGAACTAGAAGAGGTTATATTACCGCCAGCAGATGTAAAGAAATTACAACTACGTTTACAAGGTAGCATTGCAGTAACTGTAAATGCAGGACCTTTGGCCTATGCGCAAGCATTTTTGGATCCAAAAGTCGTTGAAAATTTCTCTGTTGATCGTGTCGAGGATTTAAAAGATGTTTTTAGGTAATGACTTTAAAGTAGAAACAAGTCATCTAATATATTTTTAATGTGAATTAGACTTTCAGTATTATTAGTTATTAAGTTTATTATATTTATTAATTTTATTATCGATGCATTGACGTAGCTAGAGTGTAGTCAAAGTAGGGTAGGAAGTAGAAAACAAATTTTGTGATTGAAAATGGTTATAATCCTTGAATTTTCGTTTATTGTTTTTAACTTTCTGTAAAAGTAACAAATAATAAAAAAATCGATAAGCACTGAAAATTATTACCAATAAAACACAGCCAAAGCAAAATATAGGTGGAACCTTGTAAAACCGTATTCAGAGTAATATTTTACAATGGAAACATCGCATTTTCATGCTATCAAAACATCCTCTGTTGTAGCCCACAGGGATGTGCTTTTGTAGTTTTTCGAAATTAACGAGTGGCTCTGGAGTATGGATCTGTCCGTTCTTGGCACTTGGTATTTTTTACTAGATATTAGCTAGGCTATGTATTTGCTATTTTGCGATAATTTTTGGGTATTTAATAACTTACCTGAGTAATTAATTGACTTTATAATTTAACTTTTGGTAAGAACTTCCAAATTGTCTATCAAATGTTGGATTCTTTAAAAGTGCACAATAATACCTTGTTTAGCTAGTCTATTGGCATTTATCATTTACCGTCTGTTTCCAGGTGACCTATCGACACTCAAATCCGCCGAGTTTTTTTGTTTGAGGACTTGAAAAAGAGAAATGTTTAATTTTGTTGATATATGCGTTATTAATACCTGAATACCTATATAACATATATAATTTCTACTTTTATGGTGTAATGCAAAATTTAAAAACTTATGTATATTAAATAATAATATTTTATTAATTAATATTTAATTTCAATTTAATTATAACTAATTTTCATATTTTCAGGGATTTTATTGGCGTTTGTCATACTGCATTGCAATTGAATGCACGTATGATTAGCAATGATCAAAAAGAATATCATTCTGCTTTAAAGGAAAACTATCAGAAACTATGTCAAGCACTTAGTGAGTTACTAGATGAACCATTCCAGCCGCTCGACGATAGCAGCATTAATACGCATCGCAATAGCATGGCTTTGTTCAATGCAATCAGTGGCGCTTCGAATAACTCAAGTAATGCCTAAAGGAATTGTTTTCACAAAAAGAAAAACAACTATTTTTTCATTAAACATTTGCTTAGGCTAAGCACTTTTATATGTGTTCTTAATATTAAAACAATATTGTTACAACTATTTAGTTTATATAAACAATTTTTATATACGTAATATATATAACAGTATGTAACAATATTTCATTAAACTAATCCTAATGATAAATGTTATTTAAATATTTAAAAAAATTAAATTAAATTATTTTGGTGATAGCAGTTAATTGTTACTAACAATTATGAGAAAATTTTACCCAACAGTACAGTAGTATAAACTATTTATATAGACTATAGTTAAAACATAATTTACACCCAACTAACTGATCACTTAGAAAAATTTTAAGTCTAAAACTATATAAACTAAATAAATAAAATATTTATATCATAAATAATTATTAAATGATATAAAATTATTATATTAATTAATATTGAATAAAGCACAATGCCAAATATGAGTAACGTTCTGTGTATGTAGCTTAGTGTTATGATATTATCATTTAAGGTGTGCAGTAGTAACATTGATCCATTGAAACTTTTTTCCGTATTTTTTTTATACACTAAAAAGAATTAAAATAAAACTAACCTATATTTTTGCTATAAATGTGGTAAAGGCTTTTGGTCTTAAAATTAAAACTAAAGATTTTAAATCATAAATTTTAAGCTTATTCTGTGTTCGGTGTATTGGTTAATTTTTTTAAATAAAATGGTTTAAAGTTTATATAGTATATTTATGTATTAAATTATTTTGAATGGTTGTTTTTGTTGTTAATTTATATGGCTTTGTTCATTTTATATATTTAAGTTGTAATGGCCAATTTTGAGTTACTAATGCTATTTTTTATGCCATTATTATTTATTATATAAATTAGGAAAAATGCTTTTAAAAAGTTTTTATTCAATTAATTTTCAAATAATATTTATCATTTAAAAGTTTATAATATTAATAAGTTTTAATGTAAAATTTCATAATATACTATATACTTTACTATATACAAATTATTTTTGAAATTATGCCATTAAAATTGTTTTTTTTTAAATTATTTTGATTTTTTTAGGTCTTGATTTTGCAGTTTATTAAACAACAATTTACACAACACACCCACTTGCACACACATATCTAAAAAAATATTTGAATTATGTACTCGAAAATCCTAAAACCCCACCCAGTTTCGTATGAACTAAACTAATTATTCGTGAAATAACAAATTAAATTCTGTAATATTTAACAAATATAAAATCAACATGTAATATTTTAACACAGACAGAAACACAATAGATGCTTAGTAAATTGTAAAAATGATTTAAATATATAACATTTTTAATTAATTAATTTATTATTACAAAAATTCACTTATTGTTATTTGTTTTATATATACATGTTTTAGTATTAATAATTTGTAAAAAAAAAACATTTTTGTTGAGAATTGTTTTTGAATAATTTGAATAATTGTAAACAATATGATTTTGTTTTTTTTGTATTATTTTTAATTGTATAAAATTTTTATTATTATTATTATATATTTTAATCACTTTAGAATATTTTTCAATTTATTGTAATATATATACGTATACATTATTTAATAATCTATACTATAATAACATAACTTGAAATATAATTGTTTAAATATTTCAATAACCTTTTATAATATTTAAATACTATCTGATAAGTATATATTTTAATTCCCTCAGAATTACATACTATTCATTTTTAAACTATCAAACAAAATTTACTATTATAATAGCTTTATTTGATATTTAATAAAATTATTTTTAAATTAAAATATTGATAATACTATAAATTTGAGATAATAACTTCCCAAATTATATTTTGTTTTATTTATTTTGATTATAAAGAAAAACAACATTAAATAATAATTATTTGTTTGTCTAATAATTTTTGTTAAATTATTCTGGTAATATTTTCTCTCTAAATTGACTAATCTATAAACTTAGAATCCATTTAAACTCGCGTATACTCGCGTTCGAACATTTAAATCGAAATGTTCGAAAATGCTGAAACTGCTCGAAGATGTTCTACTTTGTGCAAATAAAATAAATCAGGTATTATTTTGTTTTATATCCCTTATGATGTTCGATCATTTCCGAGAGGTTCACAGTGCAAGCACGATTCTGATTTTTTATTGATTAGACATTTCACAATAAATTTTGATGAGGGGAAACTAATATGGAGTGACGTAGGAGTAAGAATCAAGAAATTGATAAGAATGTTGAATGTTACTTGGTTTCAGGTGAAAAATCCTAATAATCAACGAATCGGAGATATAAAACAATAGGGATCAAGTTTATGTGGCCATTCGGGTATAAAAACAATAGGACGACATCATGTAGATTAAATTGTAGTTGAGGAGCATATTTGGAATATACGTCTATGTGTGACAAAGTAGCTTTTTAGTAGGTGATTATATCCTGACCTTGATTGTGCATAGTTCCTGCAGCACAAAGAAGACATCTTTCACTGTTAGAAATATTAGACGGGGATCTGATGAGGACGTTGCTATTATACAATTGTGATCTTGAGATGGATATAACTCTGGTATGAAGAGTGGAAAGCATTTACATATAGTCAATATTACTGTTGTTGCGTGGATTGAGGTAAAATTTTAAATACGAACATAACAGTGTTCCGGCATTTGGAGTATCGAATTACAAAACCCAACTTCTTCAGATATAAATGCGATTTACTAACCTAATATTAACTTACACAATTTGCATAAATGTAGACTATATTAAGTGTTTGGTCTTTTGAGAACATGACATATTTCTTCAGGAATTCTTGTGTATATTTTCTATATGTAGGTAACTCTAAAGGCCTTTTGTAAATGAGTAGCCATGAACGATATTATTAGCATTTCATTTCAGATTATGGAAATTAGTGCGACATAGTTTATAGGCAATTAATAATAACATTGAAATGGTTTATATTAAAAATTTTATACTAAAACTGTCGATATTTTCGACAATTAAATCTGTTAAATATGACTTATATGCCTTTACGTTTACTTTATTTGATGACACTAATCAATATTTTTTTTGGTATACTACTTCTAGTACTTTTCTTTCCTTGAGAGAAGTAAATATAATTTTATAATAATAGTATATAATTTTATAATTTTTATGATTTATGTAACTTATATAATATTTTATCATATGTCTATGATAAAATAATATATAATTCGGTTATTGTAAATTATATAAATCAGATAATAGAGTGATGAAAATAATAGATCTGTGCCTCGAGCTACTCGCAGTAACTTTGAGTAAGACTGTATATACACTGTATACACAAGTGCGTTCCACCAGCAAATTTTCGAGTAAATGAGAGTATCTGAGAGAGCGTAACATCCCTGTCGAAATTTGAAAATGCTACACAGACTTTACTTGCACTGGTGATCTCACCAGATCTTACACATATCTGTTCCATGAAAATATGTGTAAAAAGCAAAATTTGGCACTTTATTTGTGTTACGCTCTAAGTTTGTACTTTACTTCTATTTTACTCGAGTTTTACTACGAGTAGCTGGTGGAACAGACCTAATGTATCTGCAACAATGGAAATATCTGCGATAATGAAATACATAAGCGATATGTTTATAATTATTAATATGGTTTCAAAACAAGTTAGAAATCTTCGAAGTGGTAATTTGGAAACCTTTCTAAATACTTTAAAATATACTGAAATAATATTATAGCAAGTCAATATTAATTGCATTCTGCAAATATCGTAGTATGCTACAATCAGATTTTCTTTGCCAAAATTAGATTACCAGTAAAAATGATTATTTTTCTGTTTTAAAGAATTTGATAGTAAATGTTCGTCGGAAATGCCAAGATTTATACACATTAAATTTGTACCGTCAGCTACACATAGTATCTTGTAAAATTCAAGGAGTGACCGAGTCTACTTCTTATAGGCTCGAAAGTAGTCTATCTACGTTGGGTACAGCATAGCAAAAGCCGATTGAAAAACTTTTTTGTTAAAGTCGGTTTAATACAACCTATTTTCAATGTTCAGGGTTAAAATATGTGTGAAAAATAAAAAATAAATATAAAATTAAAATAAAATAATGAAATATATAAATGTAACTATTTTGTGATTTTTCTGATTTAGTTTTTATATTTATTTTCCGGATACTTTTTGAACATAATCTACATATACATATAAATTATATTTAACCGAATTCAGTTTATAATTTTAAATTTTATATAAATTAATAAAAATAATTATTTCAAACTTTATTTAAAAAAATAGTATTATCTTACCACTATTATAAACCTTGGGTTTACTTATTTTTTCAAGTCAAAAATAGTTCAAAAGTCTATGTTGTTACATTAACTCCGACCGTTGGTTTCAATCAATTGTTTAAGATGTTTAGTATTTATTAAGTATATATATATATATATATATATATATATATATATATATATATAAAAGTTGAACCATGACAAATTAAACATTGGATTATATTGTACATCGTACTTCTGTCACAAGTAACCCAAAATTTGTATTTCCTTCAGGCTCGCCTTGAAAAGGTTTGGCACTTAAAAGTTTAAGTTTTCTTCATTTCAAATACATAATATTATTAAAATTTTTATATATAACTGTTAATAAATTAATCTTATATAATTAAAATATGTTACAAATTAAATATTCTATTAAAAGTTTTATAAGTTTTTTTTTAAAAGCACCTCCAATTGAATTGTTGAAAAATTAGTTTAAATTTGCACTTTTTAATTATATTTCAGTACAACAAAACTATAGCCTTTTCTATATAAAAATAAATTATAAATATATATTATGTTAGGTTAGGTTAAATTTTACGTGTCGAAAAAAAAAACACAAAAGATTTTCATAAAAAGTATTAAAAAAATATTCTTCTATATATTTTTATTAAAGATATTTAGATTAGTAATAATTTTGTAACTTGTGTCTTCTTAATTATTAATATTTAATAAAATAGTAAATAATTATAAATATATATTAATTGACAACAAATGGAATATATACGTATATACAAAATATATGTTATAAAATATTTATATAAAATTTTTATATGTTCAAAATTAGTTTCTTATATTTATTATTATTAACAATTTAAATGTGTTTAACTATTAAAATTATTTTTTTTTTCAAATAAAATTAATTAATATAAATAATACAAAAAAGAAAAAAATGAAAAAGGTATTTAACAATAATCAAATTATGAAAACAGGAAAAAAAAGAATATGAATATAATAAATATTAGATATGAAAAATAAGATTAAAAGCAAGTCATAAAGTCTTAAATTTAGTATAATGTTTATATAAAACTATAAGTATTGAGTGTGTTATATACAAATGGATATTAAAAATTAATTAAAAAAAAATTGTCTTTAAATTAACAATTATTTAAAAAAATTAATTTCTTATATTATAGAGGGAAAACGAATTTTACAATTCAGGTAATAATGATATATCATTTTATTTCATTCGTTTTAAAAAAACTGAAAAAAAAAAATATACGTGTTCTCTATAATTTCTTTTTCCCATAAATAATTATATACTTTTTTTAAATACGATTCGATTTAATTGTTTTATATATACCATAAATTGGTATGCAAAATTAAATTGTTTTGTATACCATATACAATATTATTACGGAAGTGGGAGAATATGACTTCTTTTACATATACGTATATACACAATATTATTAAGAAGTTGACTTCATTTACATTCTCCACACTATATACTATATAATATATATATACTGATGATGAGTGAAGAGATGAATCCTTCCGTTTAGTACAACCACAATAGTTTTAAAAATATATTCAGAATAATTAATTATAATAGAATAATTTATTTAATAATTAATTTGACTGCATTATTAAAGTAGAATATTAACAATCACCGAATACTCTATAAAAGGAATTATTGAACATTCATTAAAACCTTAAAATTATAGTGTGTTATAAAGATAGTTGGTCAATAGTTACTCAATATGAGAAAAATAATTTTTCATTAGAATCATTTGTTTTGATTAATAATATAATAATAATAATATAAAATCCTAACACCATGGAGAATTTCTGTTTTGAGAAATTGGCCAATCTATATATCTTCTGTATCCGGATTTTGTTGTTTGTTAACTACTCCTTAAGTAATAGACCTTTTTCAAAAATTTTTTGACCAAACAGGGCACCACTGTCATCGCTTAGGCACCATATTCGCCAGATCTGGATCCCTGCGACTTTTTTCTATTCCCGAAACTTAAATTGCCCCTTCGTGGTGAGCGTTTTGAGTCGATTGAATCGGTAAAAGAAAATTCGCCAAAGGAACTAAAAGCCATACTTGCACGGGCTTACGAAAAATGTGTGGAAGATTGGGTTAAGCGTTGGGATATGTATGTGTATCGCTTCAGAAGGAGCATATTTTGAAGAAGATAAAATAAATTTGGAATAGAATTTAAATTTGTGTGTTTTCTTTACAAAATCCGAGTACTTTTTGAGCAGAAGGTATAATCAACATAATAAAATTAGCGCTTCTATTAGAAACCAAATAAACCACCAAATATCATTAAGAAGGTGAGATAAATCTTATCTTACAAAAAAAGATTGTGAATACTGTCAGTAGAGAAATATGTACTTACTAGTTTTTAGCATGATAAGGGCATGTTGCATATTGAATACATTAATTAAAATTAAAATCGAACAATAACATTATTGCAATAAATATATATTCTCAGTCACATAGGAACTAATTTTTGTTTTATCAATGTAATACATCAGCTTATAACTTTTCAGTTCCCATGATGAATATTTAGGAAATATTTATCGACTTGTTAAATCATTCACTGCAACCACCAAAGTACAAATAAATAGTAAGAAAATCTCATTTTAAGCCAACTATATACAATATTGTAGCGCACGAACTAATATGTGTGAGGGACTGGAGTATACAGGAGGATTACAGGAAGATTATTATATATAAGATAACCTTAACTAATCTTCCAATTTTTTTAAATAAGGAGTACTAAAAAACTATTGACTTGTAAGATTTTTATTGTATCAAGGGTTTATTTTATTGTTTTAGAAGAAACACCATATTTATCTCTTTTCAGGAGACTCTTTAACTTAATATTTGGGAGATATACGAATGTCAGTGTAACAACAATATTTTATATTAAAATGTAACAACAATTTACTTATGATTTTTAAACTTATTTTTAAAAAATAGTAGTAAAAGTAAATGAGAATTAAATTTTTTTTTGAAATAGAGTTTACTTATATATATTTAAGGATGAAACTATTGTAACGTGATGATCGTTTAACTAAACAATTAAATAAATTGTTGCAATTTCTAAGACTGAAACTTATGCGTTAGCTATTAAATCGAAAGTTTTAAATTAAATTATTTAATTTTTTATTAAAATAAAAAACATATAGATATATTAATAAATCGTTTTTATTATATATATGGAAGATGGAAAAAATAAATTAGCAACTACAATTTAGTACATACGAATTTTTATGTAGAGAGATAAAAAATGATGTAGAGATAAAAATTTTTGGTGTGATGTATGGTATAATATTAGGCCTGTTCCTGTACTGAAATATACTAAAATTCAAGTAAAAACTTACTTGTGAGAGTGAATTCATATTTCGTACAAAATTAATTTGCATTTTATTTAAAGAATTTCTCTTTAAGAAATATCCCGGTAGTTCGAAATCGCAAGGGAACAGCATTTCTTTACGAATAAGAGGGGTTTTCAAACTATCGAGGTTTCGATTTAGTGAGGTTAAAAAAGAAGAAAATACGAATTAACGGGGCTTTTACATTTCAGTTGGTCGATTTGGTTTGTTTATTCGTTATAAGTTATTCCTTACCGGCGTTGTCATCCTCACCGCTCTCATTATTAATAGCCGCAACTTTTTCCAAAATATTGTTATCTCTTAACATACCACATACAGTCACGTCAACATCAATGTTCACGAAATTAATGTTCGAAAAGGGTCACATTTTCAAAATTCTCACGTATACGGTCCCATAGATAATCTATGGTATATTGAATTGTTCGACTTGAGATAAATTCTTGTTTAAATCATTATTAAAACCACAAGCCGGGAAGTAGTTTTTTCCTTGAGGTAAAGTAACCCGGGTCCAGACGAAGAACCTGAGCATTGCAATGTGGTGGCTATAATGGTTAATTAGACGGAGGTTCGTATACGTTGTAGGACAGGAGAACAGATAGGTGATGTCATGGGGAGTATCAAAAATAATAAAATCGGTGACTGTTTTTTTTTTCTGTACTTATGTCAGCTAACTTTTTTTTGTCTAAACATAAATAAAAAAAAAATAATAGTTTCCTTTTTGCAACAATGTTTATTAAATTTTTAAACTAATAATCAAAAACAAAAACAAAAATATAACAATTTTGATTTAACAAAAATTCGTAAAATTATATTTAATGGAATTAATTTTAAATGACGAAATGCAAAATAAAAAATGTACAAGTTTCAAAAGAAGACTTTAAATGTTTTAAAACTAATTTTAAAAATAATTAAGTATTTCGAAATTATTAGTAAAATTTTGTTTTCTACTTTAATTGTTAAATAATTTAAATGCGGCGGTTAAAAGTGATTTTTTTATCGCAATTTTACTCTACTTTTTCTACAAATACTTTTTTTAATTATATTTTTTTAAATTATATATTTTTAAAAATTACTTGTAAATACTTTTAACAATTTTGTTTTTATGGATAATGTCCAAAATATTTATAATTATAAAATGCATTCATGAATGGTTTTTAAAATAATTTTTTTTTAAATTTTCTATTATAAATATTTCTTTTCTTATATATAGTTTTGTATCTCTTTTGCTTAGTTTTTTTTGTCATAATGGTAATAAACCACTTCTATTTATAACAACTCATAATCGGTATATATGCTATATATATACAAATACACATATATTTATACATGCATTTAAGTAGAACTTAAAGACGAACACCAGGATTGCGTGAGCGTACGAAGTTCAAGAGTTCATCAGAATCTTCGCAAACGAAGGGTTTTAAATGATGACAGGCAACATCGTGCCATTTAAGACCGTCGTTATAGAAATTATTAAGAATGGAGAGGCAAGATTCATCATTCCCTTGTGCAGCTTCACGGTTATCGGGTTGTGGTTGATTGTATCCACCAGTGTGAGACCAATCGCCAGTGTTGCGTTGAGATGTTGGACCGATTTTAGCACCAGAACCAGACCAGAACCAACCGTTCTCATTTGGTGGTTGTAAGTCAGGGCGATCACAGCCAGCGAAATTGCATTTACGACCTGAAGTCCAAATGTAGCGTACATTACCACGTGCTATGCGTTGTTTAATAAACTCGTTCTCTTGTGGTGTCTCCAATGAAACAGCATCCATACAATGACGACGACAGATATTACGTGCATCAAGCCAATCAACTTCAAGACTACGGGTAGGTGCATGTTCCCAACTGAAGAAGTATGAATGCGCAACACCACGTGCATCACGATAGGTAGCGTGACGTACACCTAAAAATTAATGAATAAATATTATTTTATGAGGAATATGTGTTACATTGAAAAATCATTATAAATTATAACTATATCAAAGCATTTATTTTTTTTACAAACTAGATACTTTTGCTTGTTTTTATTATTTACTTTAGTAAGAATTAATAAATTACAGTGTAGCCCTGTAACTTTAAAACGATTTATTATGCAAGGTAATTGTTAAGAAAGTGCTATAAATGCAGGATGTGATCCTCTCTTGCAAGAAACTTAAGAAGTAGCATCGGGTCCATTTTCAATATTTATGGATATTTTAATTTATTGTTATTACTACATATGTGAATAAATAAATGAATATGAAGATATCAAACTTATGATGTGTGGGTATTTCTTCTAAAGTTCTGCATAAATTCTGCAAGTGATTGCTTCTCAAAATAAAGGAAAGAAAATCATTACTTTGAAAGTGAAACATTTTCTCAACTTCCTTAGAATATTTTATGTACACTATGTACATTTTATAGTTTATTTTTTAATTACCATACTTTATTTATATATTTTAGATCGGGCTTCAGCACCTTAAGGATGACTATAACATAAATTATAGTCGAAATATTGATGCAAATAATATATATCTTTTAAATCTAATTAAAAAAGTTGTTAACTATTTAAGATTAACCAATCAGTCCTAACAAATATATATAAATTTTACTTTTATTACTTTAATATTGTGAAAACTTTATACTTACGATTAGCACAGCTACGTGGATCCGGTAGGGCTAGGCGCCGTTGAGCCAATGTAACAGTAGCACCGATTGCCAATAGCACCAAAGTACGTAAAAGTGACATGTTTCTTAGTTGAAAGTGGTTCTATGTAATTTCCCAGAACAACAAACACAGCACAGCTGATAAACGTAAACGATCCAACGATCCAATGAAGTGCGTCTACTGAAAAAGACAAGTGAACCGTACGAAAATTAAATTAAAAGTGAACCATTAGATGAAACGATAATGTAAATAAATCTAAATTCATATATGAAAATATGTACGTATATACTATTTATATATATGGTGTATAAAATTACTTTATGATGCTAAAAAATATAACAAATAATTTTATGATATTTTTTGTTGTTGTTGTAGCTCTCGAATGAATGTTTTTGCATTGTGCCTATTAGCGCTGTTTATTCACTTTTCTTTTTATCGGTCGTATATGGGTTACCCACCCGGTATAAGTCCATATGCATTTGATACACATAGTTTTTGTATGGTCGCACAATGCTCGTTCATGTACGGCATGACACACACCCATTTTACGGCTGAGTGAACTCACAAATTTACAGGTGTCCATCAAGCGATGGACAAAAAATGTTTACAATTTTCTTTACAGAGTAGTCAAATAGTTTTTACTAGAAAAAAAATCACTGATTGGAAATATTTTGTTTTTTTTTTTTGATGAGTTGCAGTTTTGAGTAATTTTGACTAAATTTGTTAATCTAACAATAGATCGGAAAAAATTGCCTTTATTACCTAGATTTGTATTTTTTATTAAATGAACTCTTTAGTAAAATAATTAATTTAAATTGCAATTTGTTTTATTTTATTTTTCTATTTTTTTTTTTGAAGATTTATAAGTGTTTATTTACCAAATAGAAAGAACTTACAATGAACCCGTCCCGTCACAATATATTTATAGCGTATTATTTACGCTCCTTTAAGTTAACGAAGGAATGCAATTTTAATTTGAATTTATCTTATCAATTCTGAAAGTTTAATTTATATTTGTTCTTTTTGTTTAAAATAATTTAATTTTAGTTTTTCAAATAATTTGATAATTTAATCAGAACTGCTACATTTAAATATTAATAAATTATTTAAGTGAATTAAGACGTTTACACTATCTCATTTAAGCCGACTAAATAAGTATAATTTTTCATATAAAATCTATACAAAAAAGGAGTAATGACTAGAAAGTAGTAATAGTTTAATTATTTATTTATAAATATATGTAGTATAAGCCACAAGTTAATCGGGATGGCAGTATGAATCCCTCACTTAAATGATATAAACTTTAAATTCTAATTGTTATAGTTATATACTCAACAATTCTTTCTTAGCGTGAAATTAAAGACTTGAATGTGAAAGATATGTGGTTTTATTATGCCAAAGCCAAAATCTATACAACACTTTTTGTTTTTGCTTTGTTTCCGGGATACATAAATATTTTCCGGGTATGTGAATACATGTTTTGGTAATACTTGACAACCAAGACAATGCTATTTGTCAAGACAGGACATTATTTTCTTGGATTACAGAAAGGATCGTGCTTATACAAACATGGATTATAAATTTTTACGCCTATAGTTTGGTATTAAGGCTGCTGCCTTCTTTTTAATTTAACGTTTTAACCTGGATTTCACTTAATAATGCCTATATTCTGAGTTGTTATATTCCAGAAGTAGTTATACTGTAATAACAACATTGGAGATTATGACTGAATCTTTGTTACAAGTCCTATCATTTTTGCTGTATATTACATATTGAAACCAATTGTTCCTATTTGATTGTTTGACCATTGTCTGGTCATAAGCCATGCACATATATATCCAATGATTTCTAGCGATATCAGATGCAGCTAAAACTTATACAGATTTTTAGTAGACATCATATATGATGTCAATGCTTCTTTACGAATCTTAAAAATGCTCAAAACTTTCTGAGGATTCCATCAAATTTTCAAGATCTTAAAATGTTTTATATTCCTTGATATCTACACTTTATACAACGCCATGCATGTATGTGCTACTTATGATATGCTAGTTACTTATGATAGTTCTGTAATCTTTTCATAACAGCGATGCTCAAATTATCGAAGATCTGAAAACCGAACACCCATTTACTTATCGTTGAGTAATTGCGAGGTATGTGCATACCAGTTATCGAAAACTGCCTCAAAAGGATCTACTACTGTGAGTTATTTTGTGGATAATATTTGAATGATTTACTATTTCACACATCATGCCACGGTGCAGATAATATCTTGAAATACAAATTTGCTCGAAATTTGAATTAAAAGTGTATTATATTTATATTATGTACTGTCGCAAAATCTAATAAACAACGAATATATTATTGTTAATTTAGATTTTATTTCTATAATTCGATAATAAATAGTAATAATAATAATGTTATAAAATAGACAACCTTGTATATTTGATGAACCTTGTTTGGTCGCTCCCTAATGGTAATGGTTTAGCCTTTATGCACTCCGACTAATTTGATCCCCTTTGCTTAGAGAAATTTTAATATATCGAGGAAACGAATCAGCTCTTTCCGAGGAAGTTTTTGAAGGTTTTCAGCTGCTAGTAAGTATACATCTAGAATTTTGTGTCACCTGTGCAACACAATTGGTGATCAAGTTCCCATATACTCTTTCTCATTACAGCAGAATCTGCATATAAATGTGCTGGATATAGCTTTTTTGTGTATGTGTTTATTGCGGGCACAATGGGCCATCATTTGAGCTCAAGTGGACTTTTTGGAATACAAGGCCGCCACTCCAACCTACCTACCTACCTATTGCAGGCAGAGTGGCCTGTTATTGTACCAGAGAATGACTTGAGATTCTTTTTGTTTAGGGTTAAGAATTTTTTTGAGTGACTCAGAATCACTCTCTAAGATAACATAGGCATATTTTTCTTTTAGCTACGAAACATGGTGATCTTCTGTGGATTTGCTTTATAAATGGATGCTTAAGAATTATTTTTCTGCAGTAAAATAATTTTAAACAAATAATTATAGGTAGTTAGTATTAAACTCAATATTAAAACGATATAAAAAAATGGAAGTATGATTAGATTGGTACATTACACAGTTTTGAGTTACAACCCTTATACTCGTAAAATACCTTAAGAAAGACTCGACAATACGTTGTGGAGGCCTTTAAACAACACGGAGTAGAATCGTCCTTATACAAATCACACAATCAATTAACTTACTATTATTAAAAGCAGTTTACAGATTAAATAAGATAATTTTTCTTGAAAGTTTAAGCTATAAAAAAGGAGTAAAATACGAAACTTCTCCATTAATTTTCAACTTGTGAAATATTTCTATGGTAGGCTTTGTACTGACAGTATGTTTAGTGATATTAAGTTTTCTAAATTAAGTTTCTTTCCAAACAAATCAATTATTTTAAAAAGTAATTAGTTCATCCATACCTAATACTTTGGTACTTGGTTACCGACCCACGGCTGCACATTATGGCATATCCAAGCAAAATGAAACCGTGTTTACAGATTTATTTTCCTATTCTGTTGAAGTTAATGAAAATGATGCAAGAGCATAGCTAATTTGGTAAAGTATCTAAACTTATGACTGACAAGTATAATATTGTATTGAAGGAACCTACGTATTAATCTCCGAGTTAGTGATCCATTAATAGTTAATTTATTATTTTGTTTTTGCTAATTTTAAATTGCATTAACTTATGACATCAGACGATTCGTATGCATTTATTATATTTAATTGATTTTAATATGTATAGATGCAAATTTTACCTTTATTGGCAATTACTAGTAAATGTTTTCACAATGGAGAGACTGCACAATATGTGGCGATATGCAATAAATTGCTGCAACATTAAGTATTGTAAGTCACTAAAGACTCAATTATGCAAAATCTTGGATTGCTTGTGCTTTTGTTGGCAACAATTTTTATTGTTTCTTTGTTTATTTTTCAAAAATATGTTCAATGAAGCGTTTCGTTTCACTAAAAACTCACATCGTATATGTTAAAGCGCAAAATCCATGAAATAGGTTTAAAGTTGAAATGCTTAATGTTCATTTAAATAATTAAAAAAAATATTAAATTTATATATTTTAAGTTAATTTAGAATGCAATTTATATTTATGCTTTCGCAATTTTATTTTGTGATTACTTCACAAAAGTCATGAGAACAGAATTTGATTGGGTATTTCATACAAATAAGATACTCAATCAAAATCAAAAAAAATACACGTGAAGAAAATCTATCTTTATATGATCTAAAGTTAGATTAAAAAGTTGCAACAGTTCCACTCTAAGACAAATACTGTCCATTAATATACCATTAAAGTAATCAGCTGCGAAAGAGCTAGAGCAGTGGTTCTCAACCCGTGGTTTGCGAGATGGTTAAAAATCAAATTTAACAGGTATGGATATATTATGGATTATAGTATGTATTATAGTTTATCCACTGAGACCTTAATTATTAGAAAAGAAGCATCAAAAATTTTCAATTAATTATATTCCTATTTTATAATCTATATAATGTATCTATGAACTTATACAATTCATTATACATTATACCAGAAATGCATACAGGTCGTTGGTCCTTAAAAGATTGGGAAACACTGAGCTAGACTAACAATTGTTTCCATTATGGTTAAATGTGTTATCTTTGTTTAACGGTTTGGTTTTCCTGATTCAGTTAATAAAATCCTATGTGTACCTCCGTTGTCAGTTCAGTAGAGAATTTTCTAGACCGTAAACTTTTAAGACTTCTAAAAATTAAAGTTGTTTTGTCTAGGGATAAATTAATTTGATAAATTAAGTTTTTAATAAATATATAGTCCGTTAGTTAAAATACGTCACCGCTGAAAGATCGACGTAATCTGTCTTCAGTACATAAGTACAAACAGTACTTCAGTAAGCGCACGAACTGTAGTTGTTGAAACCCAAAATATCTCTATCTAGTGTAGGATATATGGGAAATTTTGAATTCAGTTTCAATGGAGTTTTTAAAACCGAACACTTTTAATTTCTTCTTCGGATATGCTTTATTTGATCGACATTTTGAAAAACTGGCAATCTATATCATTTTAATTGTAAAACTCTTTTTTAAAATATATAGCAGAATGGATGCTACGGATTCGTTATTTGAATTCTATTTAGCGGACCCATTATCA